CAGGAGTCTCGTCCCCCCTCCCCCTACTCCAGCCACCCCTCTGGATATCCCCTGCCCAGCTGTATGTGAGCTGCCCCACACCCCCACAGGAGTTGTCACAGTCTCCTCCCCCCAATCTCCCCCCCACACACACTCACTCACCTTGACAGGCAGACAGTACCACCGTGTCCGGGACAGCCCCGCTCCTTCCTGACCTCCAGGCCCCAGGCATGCCCCCAGACGCAGGAAAACCTTCATCAGCCCCACCCCCCGACAGAGACCCCCTCCTGCTGCCTACTGGGGCGTGGCCCCCGCCAGCCCCCCCAGGAACTGCCCCCTCCCCTCAGGCAGAGGGAGCGCTCTGGGGGGCATCTGGGTACGTGGAGGGGGACAGACAGATGGCCGTCACTGCCCCCACCCCAAGGTGCGTGTATGTTGAAGAGGTTCACTGGGTCCCGCTCAGCCCCACCAGGGGGCACAACTCTCACTGGGGTGGGGCGTGGGGGGGGAGGGAATCGCCCAGCTGAGCCCCCCCCCGCAGCCCTATGGGACAGGCCTGGGCCTTGGACCTGGGCAGAGGAGTTTGGGGTGCGTAGGGCTGGGGGGCAGGGTGGGAAAGTTAGGGGGCACAGCGGGGGTTCAGGGGCACAGAAAGTAGGGAAGGGGTGGAGGGGGAGGGGTGCAGCGGGACCCAGTGAACCTCCCAAACACGCAGGCCAGGGCAGATAGACAGACAGACAGACACCCTTCCCGCCTCCCCGGTCACACACACCCCAACCCCTCCTACAGTCGCCCGTCTGTCTGTCTGTCCTGTTCTCACTACACTCCTCCCCCGTCTGTCTGTCCCTGCTCCCCCCTCCCTGTCTGTCTGTCCCTGCTCCCCTCCTCCCTGTCTGTCTGTCCCTGTTTCTCTCTTTCGGTCTCCCTCCCCCTGCTGCTTCCGCCTTCTCTGTCTGCTCCAGCCCCACCCCCTCCCGCCCTGCCCCCCCAGGCACTTCCCCAAACCTGCCCCGCCAAACCCAGCAGCTGCCAGGTTACCTTCCCTGCCCCCCAGCACAGGGACTGGGTGTGTCCTCGGGAGGGGGCGCTCGCCTGAGCCCTATGACCCCAGGGAGCGGCAGAGCAGCTGGGGACCAAGGGGAATTTGGGACAGGAAGTGAAGGGACATCTCAGGGTCCACTGACACCCAAGCCCCACACTGCCCCGCACCACAGCCCTAGCCCCCCAGTCACTCACCCCTCACAAATAGCCCACAACACAGACACCCCCCAAACACCCCACCACTCCACACCCACCCATGCACACAACCACACCCTGACTGAGCTGCATAACTACCAGCAAAGCCAACACAACCACACACACCTCAATTACCAACAGACTTGCCCCCCACCATGAGAATGCTTCACACGCAACTGTGTGACCCCACCACACATACCCGAGAACACACGGCTCCGAAAACGCACAGAGGTGTGACTTCACAACACACACCCGACAACACACAGCTCCACAGCCCCCCCTTGTACCACATGCACCCACAATGATGTGACCCCACAACACCCCCCTTCAC